TGTTTTTTTTATATTTTGTTAGCAATCTAATACTCCAACTTCAGCTCTCACTATAGATAGGTACCTAACGTGATGTCGTGACAAAATTGAAGCTGGCACTATAAGGTTAGAACTACAAATTATTAAAACCATTCTAACAAACTCTTCACGGGCTTATTTGACATTGTTGGACATATGTTTTAATTTGTTAAAAGTTATTCAATTTATTGTCTGTAGTGTTAACTTCACATCCACCACTATACATATAAATATATGTAAATAGAATATTAGGATCAAATGCATAGGGCTTTGACACGGTACGCAACGGCTGCCAGTACAAAGTACAGGCACCACTGCGACCGGTTTACGACTTTACCAACCACCTCACGGGTGACTATGACGCGACACCGTCAACTCTCCTTCTACGCCGAAAAGGCTTGGTGGGACGGGAAGTCGGAGTACCGGTCGCCGGCTACAATCAACTTTTCGTCCGACCATTGCGACGCTAACGCGTTGGTCGACATACACACACGTACTGTGGGGAACTTCAATTGCATAGCGAGTGTCCTAACTAGCCGTCCATGTCGGGAAACGGCCGAGGAGTCGACGGGGGCTAGTCCCCCCCCCCACCACCAAACACACTTACACAACATCACCAACTATCAGTAGTACACAAGGGAAAAATAGGCGTTTTGTCCGTCACCTCACCTAACGACACCCGTCCACTGACCGCGTGTGAAACAGGTACAACCAGTTCGTAGACAATTACGTGGATACCATAAAACCTCTCACTAACTTACTAACTTACCGAAACACGGGGTAAAGTGGAAATGGACAGATGTAGAACAACGCGTGTTCAAATCAATAAAAAATGCGCTAGTCACATCGCCAAAATTATCACCACCCGATTATAGCAAACCGTTTTGTCTGCAAACCGATGCAAGCCAAATAGTAGCCGGTGCGGTACTTTTCTAAAGGGGTGATAGACCGGAGGAAAGACGCATAGTGTCCTACGCAAGCAAAAAGTTCAGCGAAACGCAAACAAGGTATGCCGTGGTCGAACGCGAGTGCTTAGCGATAATCTGGCAGAAGGGGTTTCCGTCTTTTCAGGAACTGGTGGTATGTTAGATTTGACCTGGAATACATGAAATTTGATTAGCACGATTCGTACAGACAAATTCCGTCCATACCTAGAAACCTGACGTTTCGAACTCCTAACCGCCAACTCGGCACTAACATGGTTATACAGGGCTAGAGAAAAAAATTCAAAATTGACACGTTGGTCACTACAACTAGCTACTTTAGATTTCAGTACGGTACACGTCCCGGGAAGGTTTGTTGATTTGTTGTCCCGCGACCCGGCACCGGGCTCTCCCGTTGACGAAGAGCGACTTGAGGAAAAATTGGTAGGGGCTCCAACAACGTCGACAATCTACATTGACCTCGAGTCCGACCGTATCTTCGCAATAGTCGATAACCACAATAGTGAGACACGCCCCTCATCGCGACAACTCTCGAAAAATGGCAGTCGAAAAACGCTGCAATTCGCGGCTTAATCACCGGTCACAGCTGGGGACGGCCCAACTCGGAACACTAGGTGCGCAAATTCGGGAATCGACATTTACGTTTTCTCCGACGGCCTCTTACGCGTAAACGTAGGCTCCCACACATCCGTCGTGATACCGAAAACCAAAGTACAACACATAATTTGGAGGTGTCACGATCACATCTTATCCAACCACCCAGGTTGGAAAGAGACGTACCGGGTGGTTCGACAACGGTACTATTGAAAAGGAAAAAAAACGGCTACAGCCTATTAGCGCCCCAGAGTAGTACATTTGCGCCCCTAGGGATATGGACAGATGCGCCCGAAAGATAAGGTACTACCTGCCGATTTATAGCCCATATGCGCCCATTTCGTATGCAACGTTGACGTTGTGATTCATATTATTATAGATTATATTATTTATCTTGATAAATACTTAAATTAATTAGATTACCTAGTAGATTACATTATAATCTACTAATTGTGCAGTTATTGCCATACCTATTCACTAACATTTTTAATAATTTTAAAATTTAAACTATATTACTTAGAAAATTATTAGTACTTCAATTATTATTATATATTTGTTTTTAATAATCTAATTTAAATTTTGTAATTTTTTCAACATTTTGGGTTTAAAAAAATTAGTCAATATAACAATAACTAACATTAAATTTAGGAATTCTAAGTTAAAYRACACTTAATTAATTCACTAAGTTTGATTTACTCTAGTAATAATTCATCTCACATAAAATTATATAAATAATAGAAATATTTAAAATTAAAAAAAAAAAATTTCGGAAAATATAATATATAGTTGAGTACATCAGTACATGCCATTATTATACAAATTAATACTGTTGATTTTTCTCACATGTCATATATAATAAAAAAAAAGTATATAAAAAATATTTCATCATAAGTTAAACCTTAAGTTAATATAATAATAAGTTAATATTCATATTAAAAAAATGTTTAAAAAAATTAAATAAAAATGAATAATAATATTTCATGATAAGTTAATATAATAATATAATAAGTCAATATTTATATTGAAAAAATGTTGAAAAAATTTAAATAAAAATTAATAATGTTGATTTTTCACATGTCATATATTATAATAAAAAAAAGTACATAAATATATTTTTATGATAATTAAGTCAATCCCTCTAAATTTATAAGCAATTTTTTTAAATATTGTACTCTGGCTTTATTTTTTATTTGATATTCCGTCCAAGTTGTACATGCAAATTCTATACGTTCTTTTTCCTCGTTTCGTTTAGGTTTCACTGTGCCTTTATTAACTTATTTTATTTTCAAATAAGTTTCCACTTGAATTAGTTTTAAATTTTCGATAACATTAGTAATTGGTGGATGAGGTGAATAAAATTGGGCATATATATGTTTATGGAAAGATTCGGTGTAAAAAGGTGTGATGGGCGCCAGGCGCGGAAACAGAAAAATTTAACAGAGGGTGCTCAAAAAAAAATTGTTAAACCTTACTATTTATTTAAATATTATCGTTTTCTATTTGATTTATTAGTGCTAACATTTTTTTCATAATAATTGTTATCGGTGCTTTCCGCCGTCGACGCTTGTCGTTACATACGAGTAGGTATACTTCGAAAACAATTAACAATAGTTATTATTGTCGTATGTGACGGCGATAACGAAAAGCACCGATATTATTATTATTTTTATTTTGAAAAATAACAAATTATATAATTTATAATATAAATTTATTTTGTTGGTGGCTAGATGACAGGGGGTGCTCGAGCACCCATAGCCCCCCCCCTGAATCCGCGCTTGATGGGCGCAAATGGTTTGCACCGAAAAAAACGACGTCAGGTTACTCACGACCCAACGACCCAAAGCAACCAAGAATCCCCCGCCAACCATGGGAAGTTATCAGTGTCGATCTTATGGGCCCATACCCACGTTTCGGTAAGGGAAAATCGTACATACTGGTAGCAACCGACAGTTCAAGTAGGTGGACCGAGGCTTATCCCTTAGGAACAGTGACCTCTAAAACAATAATCGAAACATTAGAACGCGAGTTCTTTTCCCGTTTCGGTCACCCCCGCGTGTGTATCAGCGATTACGGCCCCCAGTTTGTGTCAAACGAAATGCTAAATGCTTTAGAACGTTGGAGAGCACAGGGTTGGACAACTCCGATATATCATCCGAAAGCCAACCCAGTCGAGAGTCGAACGCCGAAATCAAGATTTAAAAAAAGGTTTGCGCGCACAATTTGTCAACGGCAAACATAAATCTTGGGACACAAAACTACCCGCAATTCTATTTTCGATACGGAACAAGTGTAACGAACAGATATGCTACCCACCCGCGGTCCTAGTCTTAGACAGGAAACGCAAGAGACCCGGAGATTGAGCACTGTCAAAATCAACGCCAGTTCACATAAAAAAATCGAAGGAAGAGAGGGTAGAGCGGGAAAAACGAGTTTTAGGCAAATCGGTAGTGTTACAACCGAGCGCGAACACCAACAAAACGGTAAAGTTCGGCAAACGCGACGTAGTATACTACAAAGCGCACCACCTATCTAAAGCACATAAAGATTTTCATGCTGGATTCGCACCRAAGTGGTGGGGTCCAGTAAGGCTGACAAAGCAGGTAGGAAAAGGAGTTTTCCTTACCGACCAGCAACCGCCGCAGAAAATACACGTGTCTTGCCTAAAACGCGCGCCACCAAATCACCACTAAAAATAAGCAATGTTTGTACTAATGATTGTTTCAGACGTAATGAGCGGGCAACAATACGCTGGACAGTGGCAACCGGTAGCTGACCTCATCAGGCGAATGGGATTGGTGACCGGGGACGCCGACGCTGCGCACAGACTGCAGCACAGGTGGCGCGGATGTCCACTGCACGACTGCTGCAAAACCCGGTGCGGGCGGCGATCTACCACCGCGGGTGGGAGGACAGGGTGGCGAGCATCCAGCGGACGCTGCAGCAACAACCGGAGCCGACCATTTGACGTCTACAACCAACCCCACCACCACCACAGTCACCAAGGCCAAGTCCCCGCTACTTGCCTTCAAGACGGCCGCAAAACCAAACGGCCGCTAGTACGACGAGTTGACTGAGCTTTGTGACACCAATTGCGCCGACACCGGTGCTCAAGGTGTCCGGGGTGACTCCTCACCCACCGGCGAAGGTAAAGACGGAGGCACAGCAGGCGAGGAACCGCAAAAAGTCCCAACAGCTGAGGGAGAAGAAGAGGGCCAGGGAGCAATCGGCAAGCCAGCAGCACCGGCTAGCCAAACAGCGATGGAGGTGGACGAACTCGAGGAGCTGGCACCATCCGCCAGCCAGGAGCAGCCCAGACAAAACGTGGACTCGCGCGACGCCGCCGAGAACGCCTTGCTGGCGGCTCCAGGCCTGTCGTTAGAGAAGTTGTCGGAGACGGCGTATGATAACCAGTTTTACACCACGGTGATGTCACCCCACCACGATTAAGGGTAGCTAGGAACGCGAGACTACCTCAAGCTTTAGCGAGAGGTAGAGCAAGCTGACCTACACTCGTGATGCGACAGCCCCGGTACAAGTACACTCCGTCTGACGGTTGGGGGAGGGGGCAAAAGGTTTTAGAAACAAAAAAAACCGGAATGTCTTCATAGTCCACACACACAATTTATCGTCAATTTATTACATTATTTACTAAATTTGTGATAGTTTGAAGAATGCTTGAACTTTTAATTTTTTTTTGTTTGACTATTATCTGTAGTTGTTTATTCTGCAATGAAATAAAATTGTATAACTCAATGAGCTCTGGCAGTGGCAGTGGCATATGAAGTATTTTCCAATCCTTAATGTAATAAATTATTAGTGATATTTATATGATTGGACGACGCAACATTATGTGTTTTCTGTTTGTATACATGATATGGATATTTTGACGACGATATGCTTGAGCGATAGACTGTTATAATAGTCCATAAACTGTTAAAATGAAAATCCAATGCAAATATACCTATACATACAACATATTATTATTAATAGCCAGCTTCACGTATAGGTTACAACGAACGCGTACATGTATAATACGAACCTATGCTATAGTTATTTGTAATATTTTTTTCTAAATTAGATTATAAAGCTAATATTTATAAATTATTTATGATAATAGCTTATTATTATCATTATCATTATCATCACCATTATTCGTATTATAATAAAGGTGTATTTTTAAAATAGGCGGAAATTAAGTATTATAATTATATAATACGAGTATAAAATATAAAATATAGGTAATACAATATATTTTGAATATAATGAATACTACATACTCTGTAGATTGTTTTTGTCAATTCAATAAAAATACCTTAATACTGCAGTACACCTAATGAAATACAAATTAAAGATAATTCTCAAAATTAAAGCTTACATTTTATAAAGTTATGAATAAAAATAAAATAAAATTTTTTTTAAATTGAAAGTTTTTATTTCTATAATCGAATATCCTACCCACTTATCATTTTTTTTTAAATTTTATTTACCTATACCTATTTATTTATTGATTATTGTTATATTTTACATTCATACTGCAATGTATGTAATGTACCTATGTAATACTCACATAGGTTATTACATATCTAAGGTTAGTACTAAGACATCATATGACTTGTCACTACTCACTTTTATGATAATTATATATTATTAATATTATGTAGTTTCTACCTAAATTATTCATTATACATATAATCTGAATTCAAATGTAAATATCATGTCAAACAAATAAATGGCAATATTACACAAGGTTATATTTACGAATATTTACTATAGGTAAGTGAAAAAATAACATGAATTAAAAAAGGTACGTTTATACCTGGTGTACTAAAGTTTTAAGTTAATATGCGTACCTCAAAGATCACGACAAATGCTAATCGAGCAGCTAACACTTGCCATTTTCTGTAGTCATTGTGCTCTGAATCAGCATCAGCACCGTATCCCCTGTACCGACATGTTTCAGGTCCATTTATGTTTTCTAATTTTCCATAATAGTATTCAGTTACATTTCTCTCTAGACATTAAGATAAATATATTATGTTATAAATAACACTCTATCAAAATTTAATAATAACGTGACGTCTGACGTACTTGAGGATAAAGACCAAGCGACATAGCCTTCCAATGAAGACGATGTTCCAGTCGAGATTTGAGAATACACATATCGGGGTAACAGGTCACTGGTAAATGCAACCATAAATGCCTAATTCAGATAAATACGGATGATCAATCAAAAGGGAATTAATTAAGTTGACTCTAAGTTGGGCTACCTATTTAAAAATGCCTACATTTAATATGAATAGACATTATTATTTTTTCAAAAACTTTTTGTAGGTTAAATTATGTTTCAGATGATATTTTCTAGCTGAACCAACTAATGTGTTACAAAAATAATAGTGTAATATATTACCTACCTAGTGTATTACTACCTACTTACGTTGTATAAAACTGAGATTAATGACATAATTTTCAACACTCGTATCCACGTGCATAACTTGTTACAGTTATCACAACATTTTATGTGTCCTCGAATGACGTAATTCGTATATTTTTTATTAGTACAGTAGTAGGAGGGAACTGGACGTCGCTGAGCAACTACCATTTTGAACGCATCTAGTCGTTGCTCTAATACATTGTTTAACAGAGCACACAACGGGGCCAGTGGAAATGCCGTTGTGAACATAACCACAAATCCGTACTGAATTACTATAACAAAAATGCATACATAAATATAGGAATCAATGCATTTTAATAGTGCATCATCCATAATCCAAGTGCATAGGTAATAGTGTGTGGCTAATGAAAAAAGGTAAACGATGCTTTTAGATATTCTTGACCATAACTTACGAGCCGAAATGTGACAACTCAGTTGGATTTGTTAAATCCACAAGAAATAAACTTTGTCCAATAAAAATAAAAATAGTATTAACTTATGTTATCTATCATATTTACTCACCTAAAGTGGTTAATTTAGTTAGGTATGCACGTAGTTTAACTAAATTGCATGATAATTAATTTGTAACTTGGAGTCGTCAAAATAAATTATCATTAAATATCATTAAATGTAATGTTATCACTTTTCACGCGCAGATTATCCCATTAGTTTCGAATACAAAATTGACAATTGTTCCGTCACAAGAGTTACCTCAATCAGAGACTTTGGGATTATTATTGAGTATTGACTGCAATTTCTCTTTCACTTCTCATAATATAAATGCTATAATAGCTAAAAAAAAGCCTTTAAAATGCTTGGTTTTATCAACCGAAATACAATCAACTTTAAAAATATTAAGGCATTGAAAACTTTATTTTTTGCGCTTGTTAGATCACACCTTGAATTTGGTTCGACAGCCTGGTCTCCTAATTACATCACTTTTATTGGTCTTATTGAAAATGTTCAACATAAATTCTTGAAATTATTGAGTTACAAAATAAAGGTTCCATTTATTCCAAATAACTTGTGTAATATGCGAATAACTGAATTAGGCTTTATATCTTTAAAGGTAAGAAGAAAAGTTGCAGATATTATGTTTATTTATGATTTGTTGAATGGTCATATTTTTTCCCCAGAATTGCTCTCTATGATAGAGTTTAAAATAACAAATCATCGTTTAAGAAATTCAACCCTATTTCATGTACCATTTTACAAAAATAATTATAGCTCCACTTCTCTCTTCCCTAGAGCATTAAAACTAGCAAATCTTATTACTGAGCATGTAAATTTTTTTCTTCATGTCACGTCTTGTTTTTAATAGAAATGTATATTTAGCTTTAAATTTAATTGTAAATTAATATCGATATTATGTTATTATAAATTATTGCTGTATTGTATTACTATTATACATTTATCACTGTCTAATTATTATTATTTTGAACTGTATTTTCATTATTTTTTGTCTTACTTTTATTTTTGTTCTTACTGTAAAATACTTAAAAATGTAAACCTGATACTGTTCACACAAAAGGGTTATTACCCGTTTATCATAAATAAATTAAATAAATAAATATGAGCCTTCCATCTATAAGGCCAATAAGGGTATTTTGGCAGGAGATAGTTAAGAACTCGCTTTTATCAAGACAAGATCAAATAAATAATTACAGTGTTAACATGAATATAGGTTAATATAGTTATATAGTTAACTCTGGGTACTTCACAAAATATATAATAATATATTGAACAATGATTCCTAATTTCAAGGTTAGATACCTAGATAAACAAATGTCTTATTATTTGTCAATTTCTTTGAAACATTTGCATTGATACCTCAACATTTATCCGTCCACCGTCAAAGACATAATACACAAAGGAAGTTAAATCTTCAAAGACAATAGTCGACATTACAACAGTAACTGCACTAAGCCGGTAACTAATTTGGTAGGTTCCTAAGTCTCGCTGCCTTCTTCAATGTTTTAAAATATTATGTGGGTGTTTTTGTATAATTCTTTTTACTCTATGGTTTGTACCCATCTCTGAATATTCCTGGTAAAGGCCCAACGATCCAGTATCTTCTAGCTGATAGTCGAGCTGCCATTGTTTCGGGTGTTTGAGTGTTTCTACAATAGTGTCCGGCAGTTTTCCATTCAATTTATTTTGACGGCGGCTCTCTTTAGCTCGCCATCGACGCCATACATTCAATGCCAGCCTAAGAGTCATTAATTCAATAACTATATAGTTATTGACATTTATTAATTTTTACAAATAAGTTCATATGACTAACGGCGTCATCAACTCAATCACGTTGTCTATCAGTTGTTTTCCCACCATTATAATGGCCAATTGGGTACAGAGTTCTGGCACGCACCCCGTTCCAGCAGCTGCGGGATCGCAAACATCTTCTCTAATATGATGTATTATTCTCCGAAACATAGAAATGGGCCAAAACTTTGTGAATCTGGATGAACTATCCACGTGTTGCCTCTGTCCAGTCACGAAGCGACCCTAAGCAAACACCACAAATCATATTGACTATTTTACTTTTGTAATATGTAATATTTAAGGGTAAGTAGTCATAATATTATTATATTTGTAAAGCTTGGGTAATCGAGTTTCACCTAAATCATGAAGTGAAATATTTATATTACATTTGGTTAGGCTTATTACAGATTGTATTGAAAAAAAAACCGTTAATTACTAGGTTAAGTAAACTGCATTTATAAATGCATTTAATCAATGGCAATGCTATAAAGTGTAGATGGTTACGTTGTGGGTGAAAAGTGCGCAACGCTTAAAATACATAATAAGTATTTAAAAGTTTAATATAAAGAATAGTTTTTTTTATCTACCCATTGTACCCATGTTATTTAATGTTTCACCTCGCACCTTGAAAAAAGCAATGTAAACCAAGCTGGAATAATAATTGGCGGAATCGAAGCAAGACATGTACACGGTGTAAAGGCTCTGGTACCGTGGGTTGTACGCCGAATGATATGAGTACTTGGTGAGCCATTCAGCCACGCCACTGTAACCACGATGGAGGGCCACGATAGCCGTGAGTTGGACGAATGTTGCGCATGCGGCGGCCACGGCCGCCTTCCAACTGCTCAGTTCACCACTGTTGGTATAGTTCAACAGGAAAAAGCTGTGCTGTCTGTGGTGGCTGGCAGTGTCGTCATCGTTATGGCTGGTCACCGTCGACTTCGGTGGTGCCCGTCCGTCACCGCCGTCCTGATGGRAAATGGCTGACATGAGCCACCCAATGACTCGGCCGCGGTAAACCACAATCAGTATGGGCACCAAGGCCACGGTGGCCAGTGTCACAAAAAACGCTATTACCCTTAATGCGTCCGATAGTTTGGACATCCACCACCGGTAAATCACGTCCACCGATAGCATTGGTGATCCGTGGTTGGCGTTCGGTGGCGAAATCATCGTTGGGTGGAGGATGGACTTGTGGACTGTGACGGATGGAGGCGCACGGCGGCGATGACGTGGTCCTGGAGTTGGCGGCCAAGGTGGCCGCTTTAGTGGTACTTTATCGTCACCCGAACTGGAACAGCCGACACAACATTCGAACGACGTTCGCGATATTTCGCTATTGTGTTGTTCGTCCATCTGCCAAGTGTACGTAGTCCACAGTTCTTGAAACGCCGTGGCTGTAAGATATAAATAAATGAAATATGATATAACAACGACCTAGACGTAATTACAGTTAAAAATGCATAGGGCTCAAGCCCAAAAGGTTTTAAAAACAAAAAGAATAGGCATTTGTCTTCCAACAGGCAACAACTGCATATACAAAATTTTATCTATGATACAATTCAACACAATCACAAATGTATTGCATTATTGCCTGTTGAATACATTTAATAAACAACGGTGCATTCTAATTACATGCCAAAAAAATAAATATAAATTGGAATGTCCAAATTGCATGTCACCTCGTAGAGAGGGTAGTCTGTCTGAATGTATGCCATTTACCCCCAAATTTATTTATCATGCACTTATATCTACACCTAAACTTTATTTTTGACTTTTCTTATTTAAAAAAAAAAACAGATGAATAGAAACTGATTAATTTCTAGATTAAAATATTTTTATATTCGAGTAAACATTTTACCAAATTGGTGAAGGTGAAACTGTGAATATTAAACATTAAATTAAATACTTGTAATTAAGGATAACCAAGTGAATGTATTTTACATTTTTACATGGCATTTCAGATAAATAATTATACTTTATAGTTCGGTGGAGTTTATTTTGACATTATACAATATTATAAAGGTAATAGTTCAATAGTTTATAGTAATAAAATCAAGTGTAAAAATGGAAAATATATAATAATAATAATAATAATAATAGCATTTTATAAAACTATAGTTAATACAGTCAATAATTGCATTACAACATAATAAATTAAAAAATGGGTACCTAAAGTAAATGTAAGCCAACTTTTCTACTTATTTAATTCTATTTATTTCATTATTTTGAAATAAATTAGATAAGTCAATAGTTTAAATTAGAAAAATCAAAAATTTAAATTATGCACATAAGTGCATAATAAATAAACTTATGGGTACACTGATGCTTAACCCTTCAAGACGTGGAATGAAATTCTGACAAACCCCTTTAAGACGTGGCATGCAATTCGGACAGATCTCTTTAAGAGATACTATGCAATTAGAACATTATTTTTTGACTTATAATTAGGATGTAGCCAGTAAAAAATGTTTTGTATAGTTGCAAAATATATACCGGGCGCATCATTTATAACTGAACACTCGTTATTTAAATAATATTAAAGTTTTTGAAAAATGATTTTTTTCTTGGTTTGAAGTAGTTAAAAAATTTTTTTTACAACTTAATTTATATTTTTTATTCTTAAAGTTTAGAAGTTTTACTTTTTTTTTTTTTGAATAATAATATATAATTTTAACTTCGTGTTTTGCCTGTCGAACGAATAATATGTACGTTCCCTCTCACATATTATGTAGAATTTTTCGAATTGTTGAAAGCGTTGCTCTGCTTACAAAAAAGCAGAAAAAAATGCACACCACAAAAAGGTTTCTGTTGTACAACGCATTTGACAATAATCAGTGAAAATTGAGGCCATATTTTATGCTCAGATGATTAGCTCTTCCAACAATAACATAATGCCCCAAAGTCCAAACATCAACAGCAGTCCAATGAAAATGAATCCACGTTAATAGATATATTATCTGCTTTAACTAATATAACACATTCGCTAGAAAAGATCATAATATATAGAATATATAGATTAGAAAGTAATCAATTTCAGTTTTCAACAAAAACCAAAAGAAAAAGTAATGAGTTACACACTGAGAATCATAGCATGGAACGCCAACGGACTAGTACAGCGAAAACAAGACTTATCACTCAGAAGGTTCTCTATTAAAATCAGGTAATACATCAATGCTGGAGTAATTTCCACCAGAAAATCAATTCATTGGCCAACTTACTCGAATAAGATACCAGAGATATTAGACTTGTTCGTAGTTAAAGTATTTCCTCTAACCACGTTGAAGCTGAGGGACTAATATAACTATTGTAAGACAATGTGATTTGTGCATGACGTGTTACTTTCACCAAGTTCAAACGTCAAAATGATTATTATGATTTTTCTAAAATTATTTATACAAAGTAGGTAATCTGTAAGATGGCACAATGACTCTGCACAAAATCCTTTTTCGTATGAAATGATTTGTCATTGATTCAAATACATTACATTTATTACAATAACATACTCGTTACTAACTTTTKTACAGTAAAATGGTGACCACCTATTATTTTAATATTGGCTAGTAAGATTCGATTATCAATTAATAAATATGTTTAATGTGTTTTTTTTTTATTCATCCGATTATTTTTAAAACTATTCGAAATTTACCGGTGAATATCCAAAAAAAATTTGAACTTAAACACTTAAAAAGGGTAATAGTTACTCTAAATTTACTCTCAAATTCTTTTCAATAAAAACAACTATTCTGGGAATTTTCTATTTTTACATCCCGAATGCACTAACTAGATTTATTTTTTACCAGAAGTGATAGGTTGAAATTAATAATGGATGTATGATTTAAAATACTTATCGTACAAACAAACGCAAAAAATAAAAATAAAATGAACAAATATCATTGAAAACTCAAATCATCGCCTTCTTTTAGAATCTAAAACAAAGTAAAACTGATTAATCTGAACGTACAATTTTTATTTACCATGTAATATGTTAGTAAAATAGAGAAAATAAATGTACGAGTACTTACCTACTCTTAACGCATAGATATATTTTTTTTAATGAGTATAATAGGTATATTTTATTGTTAGAAATTTATAACCATTTTCAATTACTGAGTTTATGCTCTAGAGTTTAGATTTTTATCTCCCACAAAGTGGTCAAGATGCCTATTTTTAAATTTTTTTTTTTTAAATTTTTAAATTTATTCTTCAAAAAGATGATACCCCTCTCGAACATGTTTATGTGAGAACCCATGAGTTCAACCTATGTAGTGGGTACGAATGTACAATATTTAATTAACTTTTATATACAGAGTGTCCCACGGAGATCTGACATCCTGACAAATGAAATAACTTTTCTTCTAATCAATATTAAAAAAAAAAWTTTTTTTTAATACAATTCATAGACATTTGCACTAGATTTTTGGTATACATTTTTTATTTTTTGATACTGAAAAAAAAACTTAAAAATTCATAAAAAAAATTCTATTAAAACATTTAATATAGCCAATTTCTAAATCTTATTTCGAGAAAAATTTATATGGTAAAAAAAATTATTTAACTCAAATGGATGATTTTTTAAAAATTTTTTAAATATCAATATTCTCGTTAAGTAAATTACGAACTAGTTTATGTTAGAATCATTATAATTTCAAAAAATATAAATTTACCTAGGTGCATATGATATTTAAAAATGTGCATATATTTAAAAAAAAAAATTATATTTTTTGAAATTATAATGTTTCTAACATAAACTAGATCGTAATTTATTTAACGAGAATATTGATATTTAAAAAAATTGTAAAAAATCAGCCATTTAACTTAAATAAGACGTGTTTTTACCATCTACATTTTTCTGAAAATCAGTTTTACAAATTGGTTATATTGAATACTTAGAAAAAAAATGTTATCAGTTTTTAAGTTTTTTATTTTTAGAATTAAAAAATAAATAATAAAAACGTATACTAAAAATGTAGCGCAATATTGTCTATAAATAATATTTAAAAGAAATAATAAAGAAATATTTTTTAAATATTAATTAGAACAAAAGTTATTTCATTTGTCAGATCTCAGTGGGACACTAAGACATTGGAGATTCAGATGTGTAGGTCAGTGCTAAAATAAAAACTATGTTTGGAATAGCATGAGTCTTTTAAAACGTTTTCTTCACGGATAAACGATAAATTAATTTCTAAATAATTGTTTCGACTTGCAAAGCTGGTTGTCTGCGGTAAATAGTTTTAATTTGTTCTATGGAAATGTGTAGACCTTATTCGTTACTAATTTATGAATTCTATCAATGTATTTAATTTTATAAATCTAATACACTTTAATTTTTTATGCAAATTTATAATAATAGATATTATTAGCACTTAACACTGATTCTGTAAAATACCATTGCCACCAATATTAACTTGTGTTTTGTATTTTGTATTTTAACCCAACTTTATATTCTTATTTGAAGGTCAAAAAGATTTTTTTTTTTGCACTTTTAATATTTTTCAAGGTGTCTAGTTTAAAAAAAGGTCATATTTATTTTTTAATTACGTGTTTACATTTAAACGTTAAGGCCATATTTTACGCTTATATGATATCTAACTTTTGAAAGACTATACATTTATAGCTTTTTATTTTCCATAATACATTAAACAAAAAGTATAAGCGCTCAAATTCTTTTTTTTTTTAAAAACCTTTCGATTTCCTGTAATTAAAAATGAGTAAATATTGTCTTTTAAAAATCAAAAGTTGACCTAGTATCTACCTATAGTTTAACAGAAAGACTGGCTATTTTTACTTTATTTTTTGTAGGTGTTACCTATTTAAAAATATCTTAAAAGAACAATTTTAAAAGTAAAAGATTTTAATATAATATAATCTTTCATACAAAAACTATGAAAGTCTATTAGCGCACTGCTCACCCCAAAATGACATGAAAACCGCAAACACGACCGCACCCGGTCTATCGAAAGTCGCAGCTGATGTCCATCTGTATAGTCCACAAGTGTCCAATACCCGCGTGAAGCCACAGAAACTTGAATTGCACCTTCTAGTTGGGCACAAGATCCAATCGGCTACTTGTGATTTTGGATCACAAATGTCGTGGCTAATCAAATTGACACAATAACATTATTGCATTGCGTCAAAAATATATTGGTACCTAGGTACGCAAATCTGATTGATTTTGTAATTTTGTATTTAGAACATATATATCTTACGTTGGCACATCGCTACGAGTCGTTATCAATCCGTACAGGAACCACACTAGTCCAGCTATGGCAGGACCAACTAACCATATCGTATAGTATCGAAGCCAGCAGAAATAAACAGCTACCGGAATTCCGTAATACTTTCGGATCAAAGCATTAATGTTTTCATCAGATTTCCATTTTTGGGGTATGATTAAACCGGGTCTAGCCCATTTTTCATAGAGAACCTGTAGCAGTTTATGAATCAATTAATCTATTTAACAATTTACAACGCCTGTAAAAGTTACGAACACTATGAAAAGAATAAAAATAATTAATTTTAATTTTAATGAAATCAAATAGTGCATGAAAAATAAAAATGTTTTGTAGTCTCAAATTTATCAGTTTTGTTTTACGTGTGACGTCACTGGTGCGCCGCCGTCGCTGATCATCACAGTCCACACTCTACACCACGTTGCGACGCAAATACGAGTAGGTATTATAATATTATTTAATATTTTTACTTTTTGTACATGGTAATTGCATTATAGAATATTACACACGAACGTACTACTTCATACTGGTTTCATACTTAGATAATAGCTACTAGGTAAGAACAACTATTAAAATATTAAAATATTACTATTTACTATACAGACTTTATTTTTTGATAATCGTAATATTTTGTAATTATGTTCACATTATTTCTATAATCTTTATAACAATTAATAATACAATATGTTGTAGAAAAATTTAACGTATTACAATACTAATATTAATATTTTATATGATGTTAATCTGGGAGTTTGTTGTTTTCTTTGAAGCCGATGTAATTTCCATTATTTTCTAGATATTTTTTTCGAATCACTATCACTACACAGTACACATGTTGGAATAAATATTTGATTACCTGTAGAATTATTACAATTAACTTGTGCGTAAATATATCAAAACTACCGATGTAATGGAAATAAAATATTTTTTAATTATTATTCACCTTTGCCTAATGCAGACCGTGAGTTTATTCAGTGAATAAATTGTTTATAGCATATAAATCTCCATGTTTTATTCGGGGACATGAACTTGAAAGCATTTTTTTCTTGTTACACTTATGAGCTTTAATAATCATTTGATGCCTGGTGATGTTGAAAATGTCCTCGTCCATAACAACTTTACGAAAAGATGGAATGTTAGTTATACAATTTTTTTTACCATGTAATTTAGTCAAGTTGTCAAATTCGAAACAACAAACACATTCTTTATCAGATTTCATAGTTGTACATTTCTTGCATGAACACCAATGTTTGGTTTCTTTTTTCGATCTTTCGTCGCAACTAATCGCCACTAATGAATTAACCGAAATTGTTTCTAACGTTGTGTTTTATCAATATCAATGAGGCTGTAAACTCATATTTCCCGTTCACTTTTAAATATAAAATGATATAACAATATAATACACGGTGGTCACAAATATTCACTGAAGCAAGCGTTACTAATGACACGCAAACGACTGGAAATATCGCTTATCGACTGTGGGATTATATTATAATATTATTATTTGGATTTATTTTCGTAACGTCAATTTCATAAAATATATTTTTAGATCGTTGTTTACTTTTATTCATAAAATTATTCATTGTTGATTTCAATAATTGGTTTGATAATAATATTCATAATATATTACACTATTATAATGATATTATGTATAACACTATATAACAGTATAATTGTTATATAATATATCGTAACCACTTCGTGAAATCGATCTTTTCACGAAAAGAAKACCATTTCGTGAAATGGAAACACGTTTTTTACACTTTGTGAAATTCAAAAATATTTCACTCAATTGTCACTCAATTTTAAAATCGTGTAATTTTTTCCATAAAGTGTTCGCTCACTTTGTGTACTGAAATATAACATTTAACAACTTATTCTACCCTTATAAATTTAACTTAAATAATTATATATAGTAATAAAGTTTATTTATATCATATTAATTTATTAACCGTATTGGCGTATTGTGAACATATTTTATTTATTCGAAGGAAAATGAATTGTGACAACGACTATTACATTTTTAGACTACCTTTAAAACTAACACATCTTATGGTTTGACAAGCACTTTTACACGAACAACTTAACGGAAACGTCAAGTTTCATTATATTCATATTAATCTCGTGCAGTCGTGTCCGTGTCAAATAATGCAATAAATATTAAAATAATATCTAAATTATTCTATACAACTATAATACTGCAATTACCAGACTATCTGAAATGTGTAGATGATATTTATTGGTTTTGATAAAAGTCATAATCATAATGATGATCATGAAGAATTAACCTTGCGTGAAACTGTCCAAATTGTATTTGGAGGTCAGGGATTTGTTAGTTGTTCGTGTAAAAGTGCTTGTCAAACCAATGATGTGTTTATTTTAAAGGTAGACTAAAATGTAACAGTCGTTGTCACAATTCATTTTCCTGCTCTGATAAATAAATGTTCACAATAGAGTGAATAAATTAATGTGATATAAATAAACTTTATTACTATACATAATTATTTAAGTTAAGTATAATAGAAAACTACGATGGTATTAATTTTAGTGACATTAGTCTTGATACAGATATTTCAGAGAAATCAATTAATCTAAATGATAAGAGTGTACAGTGTGAAATTGGAAAAGATATTTATACACAGTTTATAGAAGTAAATGATGATTTATCATTCGATTTTTCGTAAGAATCCATTGATGAATCTTGTTCTTTAGATAGTGAAGCTGATATTAACTGTAGTTCAAGTAGTAAAAATAATAGATTTTCATGATCTGTAAAAAAATAATTTAGACTACGATTCTTGCTTCATTGTGTTTTGGAACTGTCTATTAGAACTTTTTACACACTGTCGCCAATGTAGCGGCAAAGTTATATCAAAACAACATTTTGTTCAAGGTGCGCTACTTTCAGTTTCTACACTGTGTGAAAACCGCCATAAACTACAATGGTATTCTCAGCCGAAAGAAAACAAAAGACCGGAAAGAAACATTTTAATAGGTGGTGCTCTTGCATTATCTTGAATTTTATTTAATCAGTTAAAAGCATTTTGTAATTTGTATAGCTATAAAACTTTCAATGTTTACCCGTCCGGTGTCAAAATTATCAATAAATACGTGTACCTACCCTGTTACCCTGTCATCACTTGCAAGAACATAAAAATGCAACTATTGATAGTATTATGTCTTCTCAGTTACCTATTTGTCTGGCGAGAGATGGCCAATTCGACTCACCTGGATTTGTAATTACTCTGTTATGGAAATTCACTCTGGCAAAATTGTGGATTTTAAATTGGTTCAAAAGGGCCAAATAAAAGGTGACCTGGAAAGACAAGCTTGTGAACAACTATTAACAGAGTTAAAAAAAGTGGGTAAGTCGTGAATGTCKCTCTGCTGTACAGTAGGTTACAAGTGGGTTACTGCAATGGATGGAATTAAATTTGAATCAAATGTTATTATATCATTGTATACGAAAAACGATTCTGAGCGGAGAAGGATTATCTGTCTAGGATATATTATAGATTATTAAAAAATTTCAAATCTTAGATTTAAAAAACATTTTTTTATGAATTTCTAGCATAAAATAATTTACGAATTTTCGTGATTTTTACGTATATTGTCAAAATTCAAACTTTTATTACTTTTTTTCATCTCGGTTATTAAAGGCCATTAAGGCCCATTACCGCAACACAAACTTGCTTCCATCTGTCTCTATCCTGTGCTACTGTTTCTCCATCTCGTATTCCAATCTCTGCTAAATTCTTCTCCACTTCGTCAATTCACCTTTGTTTCGGCCTGCCAAGTGGTCTTTTCCCCTGGGGTTTCCATTTTAAAACCGCTTTCATAAGACTTTTTGAAACTTTGATTACTTATAAAAAAAAATTGTGACTATGTATTTATTTTATTTTTCATCTGCTATTGTAAAAATATGTTAGGAGCCTTATATTAAATTTTCAAATCTTAGAATTAAAAAGAAAAACTTTTATGAATTTCTATCTAAGATAATTTGAAC